GGCGTCCTCCGGCCGCTTCCAGGGGGTTTCCAGCGGGGGAGCCTCCGCGGCCCAGCGCGGGATTCGTGCAGCCCGGGGCGGAGGGTGTCGCTTTTTGTCCTGCTGGGGGCTCCCCCGCTGCCCCCTAAGCCAGGGGGCGCTGCTGGACCAAGCCCCCTCCCTTCGCCTGTGTCTGGAGATGCTGGGAACTGGGGCTGACGCCGGCCTTCCGCCTCAGCTAGTGTGGGGGGCAGAGGTATCTGGTGCAGAAGGCCAGAGGCTCCAGGCCAGGGAAAGGCCGTGTCCGCATGATTCGCATCGCACGATTTGCATCGCCTGGTTCCCAAGGGACGCCCTTCTGCTCCCCGGACCACAAACCGCCTTGGCGGGTTAGGCTCACGCCAGGAAAAAGCCGACCAGGATGGCGGCTGGAGCTTCATGTATTGCGTGAAAGCAGCCACAGAGCTGGGAGGGACCTCGGCGGTCCTCTGAACCACCCCCTGCCTTTAGAGCAGGCCTACTCTAGGCTTAATTTTATTCCGATGATCTCAGTTGCTCCATCCTTTAGGAAAAAATCAGGAGGCGTCCAGAGGCCCTTTTCCGACGATCCCATTGATTCCAAGGCAGAAGCTTTCGTGAGCTGCAGCTTCTACCTTGGAATCAAATGGGATCGTCGGAAAAGGGGCTTCAGGACGCCTCCTGATTGGGGGCCCCCATAGCCTAACCGACTCTCCTCCAGCCCCACCCGTCCTTGACCTCCATCAGCTTTTCCAAAAGGGGCAACAGGAGGGACTAATCAGCCTCTCTGCCTTGCGTTTTAGCACCGTCAAGTCTGCCAAGCATGGCGGCACCAGGTACCGGTCGCGAGAAGGACACTACGCTGCCAGCGTGGGACACACGCAGTGGCTCCAGATCACCGTGCAGAAGGCTGAGAGCCCGACCCAGTCAGATATTAACGTAAATGCTCCTTTGCTTCTGGTGGGAAACGGCGTCCTTTTTCTAGTTCTGGGAAGTTGGCTATGGCCGCCGATTCCACACCACTCCTTTGGTTGGTTGGACGCTCTGGGAGGAGGGAGGGTGTCTGAATTGGGAATCGGCCGGGGTGAAGAAGGGGGCCAGCGGTGGGTTTGCAAAATCCCTGAAGGGAAGGCGGCCTCTGACCCCTGGGGTCCACCATGAGCAAACGAGTCTGTGGGAAACAGGGAGGCTGTTCAGGGAATCTGAAGTTCACTCCCTGGAATCCAAGTCTGCCTGTGAGTGGGCCCATCTTCCCAAGCTATAATCCCACATTGGGAGGGTGCAGCCATAGGAAGCCCCCTCGGCTCTGCCATGGGAAATCAGCTTCTTTGGAGATGGTGCCCCGAAGGTCCATAAAGTCTGGCTGATCGTCCATCCAGCCACTCTCCGCTTCTCTTCTCCACCAGGGCTTCTCCACGCTGCACACTGCTGCGCTGCACGGACGGCTGGACTGCATGAAGATGCTGATTGAGAAATACAACGTTGATGTCAATCTGGCCAGCCTGCGGGGCTGGAGACCCATCCACCTGGTGATGGGCCAGGAGAGCAAGGACATGGCCATGCCGTGCCTCCAGTACTTGCTCAGCAAAGGCGCGGACGTCAATGTGTACGTCTTGTTCAGCAGCATCGCTGGGGGCTGGGGCTGGGGGTCGGATTGTATCCCTTGATCAGAAGCCTTAGGAAGAACCTGCGCATGGCAGGAGTTCAGTTAAAGGATGAGGGTAGGATGGGAAAACCCAACAGAAGTTGTTCCTCTTGGCTTCCTAGGGTGCGTTTCTCGCTCAAAAAGCTAAGCAACAGCTGATTTCAATTCCTTTATAAACCGTAGCCCCAACTGTCCCCAGATCTCCAGCTGACCAGGTAGAAAGCCGCTGCAGTGCTGCATCGTTTACATTTTCTCTCTAAAAATTGGCAATTGAATGGTTTAAACCACAAGCAAACATGAATGTTCCCAAAGGGCACATGTTCCCAAGGGGCATACCAAGGGTTGGTATGGCCAACATAGTTTCCGCCAATGTACTGAAGGTTTCAACCCATCCTTCAAGCTTGCAGGAATATAATCATTGGGCCTTGTCAGCTTTTGCTAAACTCTGGCAGGCTGGCAGCCCTTCAGGCCTCAGAGATGGAGGCCTCCAGGTTGGTGTGAGGTTATTCATTGATCCGCGTTCTCCCTAATTGCTTACGCTTCATCTTGGAAAAGCGTTGGAGGACTCTTGAAACCCATTTGAGCCCCATGCCTCCCTGAAAGCCCGCATTCTCACTTCTCAGGCAGAATCAGACTGGAGTATCTCCGCTTCACAAGGCTGCAAGCGAAGGGCGCGAATCTTGTCTCCAAGCTCTGATTGATGCTGGGGCTAACGTCCATGCCCTGGACAACGAGGGACAGAAGCCCATTGATCTGTGCAAAATGTGGGGCCACAGGGCCTGTGCTAAGTGAGTATGTTGTGTCAAGGCATTGTGGAAAAGAATCATGGAAAGTGGTTCGGAAGCAGCCTTAGAGATCAGCTACTCCGACCCTCTGCCCAGTGCTGGAATCCCCTGCTTCACGGCGTCCCCCAAAACGGCCACCCAACAACACCGAGTCCAGCCCATCGCTCGCCGTGGTCCAATCGTTGCTGAACAACTTTTGCCACTTGGAGAAGTAGGAATGGCATCACCTGAATTCAGCAAAGCCAATGGATGTAGCATCCAGTTAAGGAAGGGCTGGGTGGCCCATCCTGCTTGTCTGGAGAGGTTCTCAGTGTGCTCATGATGGGATAAAGATTTGGCATGCAGGACTTTCCAGCACTTCCATGCGTAGCTTGGATGAAGAGAGGGAAGATGCAGTTACCACCCTGCAGTATGTTCGTATCTTGGAAAGCCAATCCTTGGGTAAAACTTGCAGTGTTTCTCAACCTTGGCAGCTTTAAGATATGTGGACTTCAACTCCCAGAATCCCCCAGCCAACCAACATTGAAAAATAATCCACCCTCAAACTGGTCCTGTAGCAGATCTTCTGGATATAGCTATCACTTTGTCCTTACCACTGTTTCACTTCTAGTTTAGCAATTAACAACTGTAGGTCTGGCTTTTAAAGACACGTGTTCCCTTCCCACCTGCCAATTTTCAGAACTGTAAATGCTGGCTGGGGAATTCTGGGAGTTGAAGTCCACGCATCTTAAAGCTGCCAAAGCTGGGAAACCCTGGGTTAAAATGTTCCCACAAGTTGTCACGTGCAGATACCCAGCAACACGCACAGATTCGGTTATGTTTCAAGTTCATTCTTCCCATAAATGGCACTTGCATATTTTTATGGCACTTTACACTAAGCTCCTCCCAGGGTAGGGTGATCTTTTGCCTGTTCCTTTCCAGTGTCAAGGCAGGGGAAAATGTAGGAGAATCCCAGTTCTAGAATGTAAAACCCACGTGTTACAGGTACACAATATCGTAAGGAAAGGGGGTACGGCAAGAAAGGTGGAAATGTTTAACTGCTCTGCTCTGCCCCCACAGACGTCTCTCCCACGCCATGTGGAAGGCAGACAAGAAGCACAGGCTGCGGGAGATGTGCAGACTGGAGGCCATTAAACTGGAGTGTGAGATGAAGCAGCAGGAATTCATTGAAAATGAACAGGTAGGTGACACCGGAAAGCAGAACAGAAGGCGAACCTGCCCCTTTGAGCATGGAAGTTACCAGGAGGTCTAACAAGCTGCTTTGTGAGAGGCAGAGTTTGATGCTTTCGGGGGGGGGGGCATGGTTTGTATCTGGTTGGGAATTTAATGGGTTGGATTGATAGGGAGGGATGGGGGGGGGGGGGGGGGGG